CCCCCCCAAATACTCCCCAGACCCTGCACTCACTGCTGGGGAAGTAGATGTGCCAGGACAGATGGTGGAGAGGACAGGCCAGTCCTTGCTGGAGTCTCAGTGGCTTCCTTCCAGCCAGCCAAGGCCCTACCAGGTGATGAAGCTTATCACCATCTTTCCGGGGAAGCTAGCCTCCCCTGCTGAAAGTAGGGGAAGATTGTATTGGGGAAAGGGGCCAAGAGCACAGTCCAGTTCAGGGCTCCCAGCTCCCAACCACAGGCTCATGCTGCAGGCTGTGTTATTTCAGCCACCAACCTCATTCTGCTGCTGTTGCTCCCTATCAGCTCTGCACATCTTGCCCCTCCACAGACCCCCCACAAGCAGGGGTTTGAGCCTATACACCTGGATGGACCCAGCCTGCCACAGCCCAGATCTTGGTTTAGTCTCCTGGGGCTCAGTCCTTACCTGGGCCATTGGAGAAGCAATGATACTGGACCTGAGGAGCACCAGGAAGAGAACTAACTCCTTCCCTTTCCTTCCAGTGCTGAATCCCCCGTGCGACTGCCTGAAAGATGAGCAGAGCAATAAGACATCCACCACTGGCATCATCATTGGGATCCACATTGGCGTCACATGCATTATATTCTGCGTCCTCTTCCTCATGTTTGGGTACAGAGGAAGGTAGGTGTGCTGCTTGCGGGTGGGATGTTCTCTTCCTGGTACAGCCCATGTTCTCGCACTGCTCTTCGACTTCCTGGGCCAAAGGGGCTGTGGGATCTCACAATCATCTCTGACCCTTCCATGGTGTCCCTGCCAATCACACAGTGCATCTCTCCTGCTGGGGATTAGAGGGAGCACCTGCCACCTATGCTATAATGTCCCTGTGGCATATGCTTGTTTGGGGCCTGCTAAGGTCATTGTGACTTAGAATCTTAGACAACTAGGGTTGGAAGGGCCCTCAGGTGGTCATATCTAGTCCATCCCACTGCTCAAAGCAGGACCAGCCCCAACTAGATCATCCCAACCAAGGCTTTGTCCAGCCAGGTCTTAAAAACATTCAAGGATGGAGACTCCACCACTGCTCTGGGTCACCTGTTCCAGTGCTTCACCACCTCTGCGTAAGAAAGTTTTTACTAATATCTAACCTCAATTTCCCTTGCTGCACCTTGAGCCCATTGCTCTTTGTTCTGCCATCTGCCCCCGCTGAGAACAGTCCACCTCCATCCACTTTGCAGCCACCCTGCAGGGAGTTGAAGGCTGCTATTAAATCACCCCTCAGTCTTCTCTTCTCCAAACTAAAACCCAGTTCCCTCAGCCTCTCCTCACAAGTCATGTGTCCCAGCCACCTAACCACTTTCACTGCCCTATACTGGACTCTCTGTCCTCTGCTGGACTTGTGCACTGCAATGTTCCCTCTAAGACAGGGGTGGGCAAAATGTGGCCCAGAGGCTGGATGCGGCCCGCCAGGCCATTCTAGCCGGCCCGCGGGACCCCTAAAAAATTTAGAAAATTAATATTGATCTGCCCTGGGCTGCCTGTCATAGGGCCATTGATGGCTTGCCAAAACTCAGTAAACGGCCCTCTGCCCAAAATAATTGCCCGCCCCTGCTCTAAGGTGTAGTGATCCATGAGCACGCCCTTTGGTCCATGAGTGCGCTGCTTTAGTCTGTTCCCGAATTGGTCCCACCTCCCCCTTTAATATTTAATATTACACAGTGCACCAAATGCATTCTTTAATATTAGTCTCAGTCTATCTATTACCTTGTTAGATGTGTTTTGTTTAAAGGCCTAATTCTGCTTTTAATTTGCATTGCTGTAAATACTAGACAAATTAATAGTATTTTAATTGTTGTAACTAATAGAGGATTAGGGTGAAGTCAGTGGGGCCTGGGGCGAAGCTTGCCGGAAGGGGCTGGACAGTGAAGTAGTTCCCTGGAGCCAGCAGAGCCCACACGGTGCCCAGGTCAGCCCTAGGCCCTGTCCCTGCCCCTGCCTCACTTCAGAGAGGAGCTGCTGCCTGCCCCGCACCACTGGCACAGAGGAGGAAGGGGCAACAGCTATGATTGCTTATTAATCAGCAGCCCAGCCCCTTGTGGGCTGCTCTGGCCAGGGCTGTGCTCTCCCTCCCTGTGGGGATGCCGGCGCAGTGAGGAGTGGAGTGGCCTCTGTGCAGCCGAGTGATGCATGGCATTTAAAAGTTACTGTGTGGCAAGATTTGTTATTGTGTACGACTGTGCACACGTGCAGCTCAGAGGGAACCTTGGTGCACTGGCTTTGGAAGATCCCCAGGCGTTGTTGGCACTGGCTCGCTGTGCTGCACACAGACAACTGTGACCATATCCTGCTGGGCCCCTCTGATGGCAGTGGGGCACTGCTGCCTCCTCAAACCCTATTAAGGGTTATCATGGCACAGGCAGGGTAAAAACAGTCTGGGGCAACAGCTCTGGTGGCACATTGGGGCTACATCAGGCAGGAGACTGATCTGAACAACGTTGCCAAAGATACAGATTAATAAGAACTTGAACAGAGCAGTAAACCCCAGAGAAGTTTGCCAAGGAGGTCACTGCCAGGAGCTCCAACCCATGCATGGGCAGTGAAGGGAGCTGCCCACTGTCACCCAGCGGGGCAGTGGCAGAGACCACCCAGATCCTAGACCCCAACTCCCAGCCTAGCACTTCATCCATGAAGCCTGCCCTCTACCCGCAATGAGATCCAGGCTCAGACATCCAAGGATTCCTCTTAAAATGAGGAAGAAAATGCTGGCAGTAGCCTGGGCAAACAAGCTCCCTGCCTGCCATGGGGAATCTCGACAGGCAGGCACTCCCCCACTCCCAGACACTGGGATACAGAACAAAGGGAAGTTGATTAAGGGAGAGGGAGGCAGTATGCTAAAGCAGGGCAGTAACACAGGAAAAAATGCGGCACACAGTGGCTGCAGTTTTGGGTACAAGGTGGGGAGGGGCAAGGAGGTGCCTCGCATTGTGAGTCTGTTGGCCAGTACAGCCCATGTTCTCACACTGTTCTTGCACTTCCCAACCCTGAATCCTGTTCTCACTGGCTCCATATAGGCAGATCATTTGCTAGGGGATGCAAGGGCAATGGTGCTCCCAGAGCCATGTGAGCAGGCTGCCTGTCACCTTGGCAGGAGATTTGGCCCCACCTGAGCTTCCCTGCCCTCTGTTTTCCAGACTGCTGATGTGCAAAAATGTCCAGGAGCAGCTGTCGACTCCACAGATCCCAAGGAGTCAGAGGAATGCCACGGGTCTGGTGCTGAATGGAGCGGCTCGGAGGGACAGGGATGATCTGGACCTGAACAGAAAGCAGCTGGATATGAATGAACTGGAAAGGCTGTTTCCTGCGTTGCCTTTGCAAGAGCAGCAGGATAAGGGAATCATGGTAAGCAGCGGGGGAGGAGAGCAATGGTTCTGCCACAGCAGGCAGCCAGAGGATGCATAGACCCTCCCCTCTCTCCTTGGATGTGTGTATTCAGCCCCCTTCAGTACCCAGAAAATACAAAACAACACACAGGAGGGGCATTATTCTATCACCCTTTGTTCACCTGAAGCTGCTATTCCGTTAAAAGCATGATGGGATCTGGTCTGTGATCCCAGCAATCACCCTTCCCACCATGCCACACAAACACAACTGGAAGTGGAATTGGGGATTAGCTCCCAATCACTCCCTATTGCTAGAGCAAGGGAAGCCTGGGGTCGTGACACTGGGCACCCCCTGCATTGGCAAGTAGCAAACTGGATGCCTGGTGTGCCCATAGCTGGGAGCACTGGTCAGCTGATGTGTGCTCCCAGGTACAGGAGCACACCAGGTCTTGAAGGGCTCTCTGTGCTTCTGGTGCTGGCCACACGTTCAAATGAAGGCACAATGGGAACCAACCCACAAGTTATTACACGTTTTATGTAATACCGTTGTGGCTTGTTCCCTGTTTTATCACACCATGAATGGCACGAATGTGTGGCCGGGTTACTAAAGATGTGATTAACAGATTAATCATGCGTGTAGTGTATCATCTGCCAGGTGTCTTAATGGCAGCTCTCTAGTGACATTTTTTACACTGATTTGCAGTTGGGATTCTGTTGCCCCTGTATGGTGGATGTGTGAGCCTGCACCCACAGATTGAGCATGCAGGCAGTTATGCACTGGCTGGACAAGCGCATGGCTACGGATGCATGTCTACGCTGGAGGCATCAGTGCACCGAAGTCTTAGTAAAGTAGCTAGAAGGAAACAGTCCTCCTATGTCATTGTAAGGCCAGGGTATTTGGGCTGGAAGCTGGAGACCAAGGTTTTAGACTTTTCCCAAGGTGGATTGACTGCCTGTCTCTCTGACTTGCTAACATAGCGCTCTAACTGTCATGCCATAGCTTAGACGTCCCCTAGGCCAGCCAAGAGAGGGAGATATGTGGGGCCAGAAGGAAGCGAGCAAGTCAGAGGCTTTATAGCTCAATGATAGGCTTGTGGGCCTGGAAGAAATTGGGCCTTTGCTCCCACTGGGGCAGAAACCTCTGCTCTGTTCTCCATCTATTTTATCCACTGCAAGGGGCAGTAGTAGTCCATCTTCAAAGGGACATTGAAGCAGCCCTTGCTAATGCCCAGCTGGTGGCATAGGGGTTAAGCGCATTGCTAGGAAGTCAGAGACACAAGTTCAAACTCTTCTGGGTGAGGAGGAACCAGAACCAGGTTCTCTAGACAAGTGCCATGACCACTCACTAGCACACAGCCAAGTGTGCATGCAGCCTGTGCACAGTTCCACATCCCCAGTGCAGAGGCAAGGCTAAGAAAACCCAGGTGCAGAGCTAAGCCACAAAGAGGAATAAAATCACTCCCTGAATGCATTGTCCAAGAGCTCCTCCTTTAGCTGTGGTGGTAGAGGCTTGTGCCACGAAGAAATCCTTATGCCTGGTACCTGAAGGCAGAATTTAGTTTGCAGATATGGACACCTCTGTAAAAGGTGCTTACAGACCCCCTGTGAGCTGCACTATTTCCAAGCAGCCCCACAGCTCAGTTCAGATAGCACCATGAAAAGTTCTTGGATTTGTAATGGCTTGTCGTTTACCTCCTCTCAGCCGGATCGTGTCCCACCTACCTCACATGATGAGACCCAGATATCGACACTTCCACTGGATGAGTTCAGCATCATAGAAGAGCAGCTGGACCCCCCATCCAAAAGCTGGGCTCCTGATGACCATGGTGGACCACCACCCCACTTCAGCCAAGAAGCCCCAGCTTCGAACCACAGTCCCAGCAATGAAGGATAATTGCCAAGTCTTTCAGCTTCTTGTAGGAATCACCAGGAACCATTTCCATGTCTGGTGATGTCTTTACAATGATTCGTCAATCTCAGGTCAAATTTAAGATTTCTATGGTCTGATTTTTTTATTGTTTTGTTTTGTTTTATTTTTACACACACACACACACACACACACACACACACACACACAGCCTTTTGGAAACTCTGTGAAGTTTATCTTTCTGACCTGTCTCAGGCCTCTCTGTGCGTTTCTTCCTATGACTGCATTATCGAGACTGGTCATGATTGTTTTTTCCCGGTGGCTGCTAGACAGCAGACTGAACTGCCTGAGTGGGCAAACTCTCCGTCAGCGCTGGAATATGGTGGACGTGTGTTCCCGTGGCTTCACAAACTCGTTTCTTTTTTAGCAGCTTTAGAACTATTCTGTGGATCTATTTTTTATTTCAAGCTGACTGGATCTAGAGGAATCCTTCTAATGTGACTCCAAAAATTTGGGCCAAAAAGGGCTGTCTTTCCATGGATTTGATGATTTTGTACACTTTCTCTATTTCTCAGGATACTTTTTTGCTTATTGACTATAAATAAGGAAAAAAAAAAAAAAAAAAAAAAGTGTGTCAAAGGAGGCCTGTGTGAGGGCTGTTGAAAGACTTGGACAGACCACCTGAGTTAAATCAGAACCTACCTCAACCGGAATGAATGTCTTCTGGGAAGCAGCAAATATCTGTGTCTTCCTTTGTTTTCAGAACAAGTAGCGTAGCACTTGGTCAGTACAAGCTCGGTACTACCTCAGAAGTCATGCTCCGTATCTGCCATTGTTGTCGTTGTCGTTTTGTCGTCGTCCCCCCAATGTAAAGCACTTCCAAACCTTGAAAGCAATGTTCTACCTCAAGTTTTTTATAGAAGTCTGTTCGTGTGCGTCATCAGACCTTCTCTCCCTTCATCTGACTCTTGTGCTTTGTTCCAATGAAATCTGTTCAAAGAAACGTGAAAGGGCAGCGTGGTGGCATTGTGTAACAAATTGTGATGACATTTCACTAGTGTTATAAGCTTTACTTTTAGTTGAAGCATAATGTTTGTGTATGATTTTGTGTGTCTGCATTTTAGATCATGGTTTTACTTTAAGGACCGTTAGCGTTGTAGCCCGCAAGCTGCCACGAATAACCTAAGGATGGTGCTCACCACGGACTTGCAGCCGGAGGTCCAAGCTTAGCTTCTTCAAACTGGTGCCGTGTTTCCAAAGGCTCCTTCTGTCCCACCCATCCTCCGAGGCAGCTGAGCACTCTGACTCGATTCAGGAGAGCGCTTGGAAGTCAATGGGATGACTCACAGGTCTAGAAGGAAGCACATTTTCAGTCCTTTCCTGAACCAGGGCTAGAGTACTCAGTGCCTTGAAGGATACAGCCAATTTATCTGGCTAAAATTCCCACTTAATTGATCATAGGACAGCAGTTGGAGAGATTAGGACTACAGCACTTACCCTTATCCACTGCTACTCAGAGCACCCACCTTCTACCACTGGCCCAGCGGTATAACACACCCCAGACTGAGATAATGGCACCCCTGGGGTGCGGGAGACCCACGGCCTTTAGCCTCATCCTTATGCACCCACGGAGGTGTCTTCTTGTGCCACAGTGACTAATATGTACCCCCACGTGTGATGGCACCTTGAGGAAAGGATATATCAAAGGAAAAGCATATTCTGACCTATTCTCCTCCCATCCTTGCAGCTAACAAGCGTGGTTTCTTTATTCATTTGACATCTTCGGACCCATATTTGTAAGAGGAAAACAGCCTAAGTTTGAGGCTTTTGAATACAAGGCATTAGCCAGCGCATGGCAGCGTTCAAAGATTCATCTGGCTTGACTGGCTGACTGATGTGCCCCCATTCAGAAAGGACATAATTCCCAATGGCCAGTTTGAGAGTTACTGCTAGATTGCTTCCCATTATCATCTCTAGGGAATTAGGGGTGGGGAGAGGGGGTGTCAGGGTTTGTTAATTATGAAATTTATGCTATTTAGTAAAGCCATTAAAGAGTCTGCTAGAGGCAGCTATAACTGTCGCTCTCCCACCACAAAGAAAACACTGGCCCCTCCCTACCTTTTGGGTAGCTTTACTGGCGTTTCACAGAATGGAAATGAGTCCAAAGTCAGCAATCCTGAAGGAACTGGAAGAAGCGGTTCTTTACATTGCTTTTTCCATGTGAAAAAAATATTCCAAACTCTTTAAGTATCCTTTAATATTAAGTATATGGTACTTGCATCTTGGGCCATTAAAGGGTCTTCATCTGCCTAGCCACGTGTTGGAAATGGCAAAGATCTCATTAATTCAGAAGTGTGGGAAGAAGAGAGTTCAAAGTGTCCATAGTCTGCCCGGAGCTGTCTGCCACGCCTTCCAAAAATTTGCCATGCTGATTTATATGGCACTGTCTTGTGTGCTGACCTACGCCTTGGTTCTCCAAGGTATTTAGGTGGGCCTCGAGGTAAATGCCTTGGGGAATCCGGGCTGTAGCAACCATGCTATTAATTGGCGCTGTGTTCACAGCTGTGTCCATTGAGACATCCTCCCAGCAGCTTCTCTTTAGGTTATTGGTGGCAGTGTCAGGCCTAGACCTCATTCAAAGCCTTAGGTTGGTGTGTTAAGTAGGTGCATGTTGCTGGCGACCTACCTCAGTTCAAGTAGAAAAGCAGCCTGGTGGTATGAAACAAAAACCAAGAAAGAGTTGTAATGCGATGCTGGAGAACATCCCATCTGTGATGCCACAGCCAGGGCAGCCGTTTCATGTGCGCGCGCTTTTAAGCTGTTTTAGTGTTAAACTCTTTATTTTATATGCGGCGGTGAATCAAATGTAATTATTTTAGCTGAAAAGAAGAAGAGTGAAAGGAATGAGGAAACGAGCTTAAGTTGTAAAAAGGGAAAATTGCTGAATGGCTGTTTAAAAAATGAAAACCAGTCCTCTATCTTCAGTTGTGGGAGAGAGATGGTGTATGAGAAACATGTGCTCCAGCCCCATTACCTACACCCTTTGGCACTTGATTGCTAAAATTGTCTACATAATTGTTGTACAAGAATACACAGGGAAATAAGGAAAAGCATATCTCCCATTTCCTGCATCCTGAAACACTTCCAGCAATCAGCCTGGGCTGGATCTGAAGAGACAGCTCCCCTTCGGGTCAGATAGATCAGCCTGACGTACGCAGATACAATGGCGCTGACCTCAATTAAACTGAGCGCATATGTGCCTTAGGTGAATTTGGGTCAGTGTTTATAAATATCTTAGACTTTTAAAAGTCCTTCTCCCCCTCATGAGGTTTCTTATTTTCTCTTTCGCCCTGCAGGAAAGGAGGAATTTGAGAGCACCAGGTCTGTATGTTAATAAACCGAGAAGTCATCTAACCCCGCCACTAAAATACTGACTAAATATGACCTAAGAGAGCGATCCGCTCACACGTTCACCGTAAGCTGGGAGATGTTTTCAGCCCTCTCTCTCTCTTCGCCACCCACAAATCTCTGAATTCCTTCAGCAGTTTGTAAAATAAATTGGCTTGCTCTCTCCTCACAGACTGAAAATCAGAATACCAGCTGTGCCCTGGAGCATCTATAGTGCCAGGCCCCATGTTTGCTCAATGGTGTCTATTACTGGCCAGCTGGGACGTCCCGTTACACAGGAGTTAACCTGTCGGAGCCAGGGTACACCACCGTTTGGAAAGGTGAAGGGGGATGGAGATGCAGGACAGTTGGGGAAGCCAAGAAAGGCGTTAATGTTACTGATTCAAAGGGCTCGTTAAAAGCACGTCTTTCTTTGATGCGAATCAAACAAGAGCCATTGTCTAAAGATTTGAAGTGTGTGTTAGCGAGAGCCCAGGCTGCAAAACTTGGACCTGGGTTTCCAACCTCTCGAAGCCTGGTCTTCAGAGCTAGGATTTTGGGGTAAGGCTCCAAGTCTGATACTTGAGGTATTCACCCAACCTGTTGTGAAGTAGAGCCCTGCACCGCAGGTGCAGCGTCCGTGTTGCCTAGTGTGCACGGACGGAACAAAGCTGCGATGGGTTTCCTTGTGCATTGAGTTACGACTTCATATCAAAGAGAATCCACCCCCCACTCATCCACACTTTTCTTTTTATTGTCTCTGTGTGTAATGATGAAGTTCAGATTGAATAAAGTACTGTTGCCAAAGTGAACACATAATTTAGTCTAGCTTTCAGCTCAAATACCTGGGGCTGTGAACTTGCTATTAATTTAATATCATATTATTGTGATATTGTAATAGTAACAAGTATTTGTCACTACTTCCTTTTATTAAAGGGAAATGCTGTGCCATTTGATTAGTTAAAACACAGTAGTGTGTCATGAATAGATTTTTTTGTTTTAATATGCAGAAATGTAATGGCTTAAACCAACTGTATGTTGGTTTGAGACAAAGATGGATGTGAACCTTTAAAGATTATTTTTAGATATTTAGATTTTCCTCTTTCTGGGGTTTCTTTTAAGCTCTTGTAAATCCATGCCACTGCAAAATAGATGTTTGTAATGGGCAAATCTCGAAAGGGTTTTAGGTCCACTCTGGGGAAACAGCAAGAGGATGTATTTCTACCTGACTTGTTCAAGGCTCTTGAGTCTGCAAAATCAGATAGGAATCCTTGCAATGAGAGATTGCGCATCTTTAAGTACATCCAGCTCCTGTTTGGATGGGGAAACAACTCAAGTAACAGCCATCCTTTTGGTTGGTGTGGGGCCTCCATTTCTGATCCTGGAACAGAGGACCACAGAACTGGGGGGGAAGAAATGTTTCTGGTCCAGATTACCTGAACTTGTTCAAGTGTCTAAACCAAGTTGATTTTGGTTCAAGTTCAGCTACAGATTCAAGCCAGCTCTTAATTTATCCAGACTTGTTTTTGCTGGATAGAAATCTAAAGAATGCAGGCAAGCTTGGAGCTTGCAGATGAAGGCGGAGCCATGAAGCCCTTTGCAACCTCCACTGACTTAGATGGAGTTTCACGACGTCACAAGGTCAAGTTTGGACCCAAAGGTCTTTAGCAGCTACTTGTTCATTTTCATATAATCTTGTGTTCACTCAGTGGGATCCATGTCAAACTCCAGGTATGGGCTGCTGATTGAACCGGTGGCATTTACATGTTGGAAAGGTACTTGGTATTGGTGAGGCGGCCGCCATGACATTCCAGAAAATGCAAGTAAGCACAAATTGCCTCTTTCCACTGCTGATGACCTGTTGTTGTAAGGAAGACTTAACTGTCCTGTCCTGCTGACGTGTGTACGCAGCCGGTAGTAGCTGCCGTAGGTGCCACATGTGAAGTGAAGGGTCTTTCCAGAGCATGGGGTGAGATCCTGGAATAATCCATGTTATGGAGGAGATGCAGAAAATTCCTCATTGAAAGTCATGCAGGTGTGTTCATGGGTGTAAGCATCTAAGGCCAAACTCTGAGGAGGTGGAAGTTGTCTGAGCGCCATTCACTTCAACCCAGTTGTGCTTGTTTTATAACGCCTGAGAACCTGGCCCTGGCTCTTTAAAGTGTCCGAGTCGACTACACCAGTGGTTTTCCGCCTATGGTTGGTGGACCCCTGGGCATCTGTACACTATTTCTAAGGGGCCCACAAAAGATGACTAGGATCAATCAAAAGTGGGTGAACACCCACACCTACAATTCAAAGGGGTCTGCACCTCCATTCAACACTTTTTAGGGCTCCACTAATGAAAAAAGGTTGAAAACCACTGGACTACATTGAAAACAGTCAGTTTTCAAAGCAAACCAACGCTCTGGTGTCCTGGAAAGCATTTGGATGGGATTCGTGTGGCCTGACTCTCAATCATAAGAGCATGCTTTGAAACAGTCCCATGTTGTTCTCGCCAACCAGATCCTCTATCCAGGCTTTGCGCTTAGGGCACTGCTGGGATCTTCCCGTATTACATTGCGCGGGTGATAGCTGGCATTCACGCATGAATGGAAGTCAAATGTCTTCCATGTTTCTTTGTAGCTGATCTTGGGGATGTGACAATAGGGCGGGCGTGTTTCGAGCACAAAGAATTAACATCAAAAAGCTGCCGTTGGGCGCTGCAGCTCTTTATGCTGGTGACTCGCTCACAGATCCAAGCATTACTGAAACGTTCCTGCTGGTTTTCTCTTTCCTTTTTTCCCCCCCTCGTTCAAGGGAACTGTGTGCGGCACCTTAACGTGACAGCTTTTTCTTCCTCTTCACAAGCCCTTTAGTAACAGGCAGCTTGATTGCATTTCTGCCAGCATAAGGCACAGGTGTACCGGACATCAGCATCTCACCCCGTTGTGCTTTTCCAAGGAACTTCCATCACTTCGGCAAACTGCCTTCGTTGCACAACAGACGGGGTCCTACATTCCTACTGTTTTCCTGACTCGGGCAAAGTGACGCTGTTGTAGGAAATAAACTGTCCAAGATCCAGTTTTGGTAACCCATAGTGGACACAACTGATGCGCCGAGCTCTGCTTGCAAGTTTACCAGAGATGGCTGCTACCTCAGGGATAGTATCCGTGTTATGTTTAGTTGGGCAGGGAATAGTTTTATACTGTGACAGGGTATTTTCATACTGTTGGATTCAGGTATTTATTTGTGAACTGTGTCTTTCTTTTTCCTTGTGTCATAAAGATGCTGGAATTTTTAAGTATTAGACCAGACGGGGATTTTAAAACTGCCACCTACAATGATCCCCCTCCCCTCCCCAAGGATTGTAGATGTTGGCAATAAAAAAAAAAAGGAAAACCACGTGAAGTGCTGTTACTTTATAACCCAATCCAAAGCTCATTCATGTCAACAGGAAGGTTTCCATTGACTTCAGTGGGTCTTGGGTCAGGTATATGGTATATTATAAACCCCAACAACAGTGCATTTTGATCTGTAGCAGCATTACTGTGTGTGTCTGCACATTTCTCTGTACTAGGATAATGTATCGTGCAGCAATTTGAGGGCAAAAGTCACTCTAGGCTGCCAGGTCCCTTGCCAGGGGGAATTCAATACAGTAGCAGTTCAGTGCAGTACCTGAATCAGTGCGGTAGTGTATATGGGGAGAGTGGATGATTGCTTTTTTTCTTAAAGACAAAGTGTGGATATACTGCTTTCCCAAATGCCGTCAGGGGCTTTATCCTCTTCTCCATGTTTATTTGCAATAGTAGCAAAAGGAGGATTGATATGTTTAAATGCAATTTATGTGTTGTACTGAAATCCCTTTTCTTTCCCCAACACATGCATCCCCTCGCCCCCATGCTCACACAGGCCTCCTCAGTGTAATGTTTTCACTCCATTTTCCCCTCCTCTGTGGCTACGTCATGCATTTGCTGGGAGCAAAGCGCCGAGCACTGCTTTTCCCCGCCTATAACCCCGTTTCCTCTGCGAGAGCGACCACTGCCTCTCCACTCTCCCCATATCTGCAAAGCAAATACAAGCCAGTGGTAAGAAAGACC